AAAAACAAGCGCAAGAAATGCAATAATGCAAGCAGCCATTTATTTGTGTTTCTGTTTGGATGTTGGCAGGTGTCTGCATGCTTTTTTCCATTTTTTGCAGAGAGCAAACCCTCATGCCTGCATCGTGTGTTTCAAGGATTTCCGCAAGGTGCACATTTATTTTTTCCTCTGGTAAATGTTTCTTGTGTTGGTGCAGCCAACAATTCGGTGTGTGTTGTTCCTGCCTTTCGCTGGTAAAGTGCTGCAATAGATGTTTGTGTTTCCTTTCGTTGCTGTGGCACCTGATTCCTCACCGTTTATTGCGGTGGAGATGAAAATATGTGAGTGGACTCCCACACACCAGAACGCACCTTCGCTCCTATTTATTGCTGCATGGAAGGGCATGTGTGTTTGGTGGTGCCTCGACCATATATTTTGTGGGCGTACATTCCCCTGCAGGCTGAGGGCGGGATGACGCTCCGTCGCGGTGCACTTCCCTCGCATGCCGCCCACTGTGATTCATCATGCATCACCCCCTCACACATTCCGTGGTGCCACACAGCTGATATTATTGCAGCCGCTCTGACTCCGCGTATTTCACGCATTTGATTGTGCCACAATACATCCGCTCGTGTGGCCGCCGCATCCAAACAGCGGTGCCCAACACCGTGAGCGGCAGTCCACATCCTTGCATGTCCCAGCGCAGTGGTGTTTGACTGTCAGCCAGGCGTCAGACAACACGAGAGTCTTGTGCTGGCAGCACAACACACGGAGCTGCAGTGAATGACTCGGGCGGAGACGCATCTATTCGTCGCAAGGCAGTGAAAAGGAGTCGGGCGAAATAATGCCGGCTGCATGCACGACACCATATCCACAGCCAAAGCATGCGACGTGATGTGTGTTTCACTGGTGCTGTGAAATGCCTGCAGACGACGTCACTAGTGGAGGCATGCCGCCCATGATCAGCGTACAGACAATAATCGGCATGGGAGGCCACAAGAGGCAGCAACGACGCCAGCAACAGGAGCAGCTCTCTCTCTCTCTCTGTTGCCTCCGAGAAGCAATTATCCCACCAGCCACAGCTCACTGTGCCATCGTGACACTCCATGCACGCCGTGGCTGCGTCAACACATCCTGTTCCCTGCAGCGCCTCAAAGATGCCTCACTCCGTCCACTAAGTGCATCGGTGTGGGCCGTGCCTCGGCTGCTCGTGAGGACCACAACAATGTGAGGGTCACCGAGTCGCAGCATGTTTGCTGTGAAGTTGTTGCATGGCACCTGCACACGCACGCAGCGCCTGCATCCCTCCCTTTTGTGTCCGCCCTCCGCCGGAGTGGCCACACACACGGGCAGCAGCAAAATCACTTCACCCTCGACAATCCAAAATCAGCACCGACATCCCTCGCCACGCAAAGATCTCAGTTGCCAGCACGGGCCTCATGCCGCTCTGCCATCGACGCCGAAACACGGCACAGTGCACGCACTTATTTTCCTCGTGTGCAGTCAGCCGTTTGCTTCACACATTCTTCGACGGAATGACGTTCACAAAAGCACGCCACAAAAGCCAATGTGATCGCACAAGCTCCTGCGATGAGCGTCGGTGTGTGCGTGCATCCGCTGCTCACACGTGCTGGCAAGCAGCCTGCAGCCGGTGCCCTCGTGCCAGTTCATCGGCTCCAGCACGGAAAAGAGAAAACGGCCTATTCCCGATGCACTTATTCCCACCAGCAGCACCAACACGCTGGTCGTCAGCCGTCATTCCTCAGCACATCCAGGAATGCCGAAAATTGACGTGGAACTGTCAGCCAGCAATGCCACAATCCCGCACACACGTCGGCTCCACCAGAAAAGACACACAAATCACAAACAACACCCTCCACATGTCTTCCGAACATCATTCCAACACACCGCGACACGCCAAACAGAAGTATTCGTCACTCCAACGCACCTCCCCACACAATCAAATAGTCCATGCACCACGCACGGCAGCGGCTCACACGCAGTCAAACAAAAGTTCCTCGGATCAGTGGCCTCCACGTGCTGCGGTGGGAAGTAAACAAAAGAGACGAGCTGCCAAACCCCAAAAGAGTGCCACGACTGGCCGCAACTCAAAGGAACGCAGCCACACAAATGAATTCGGTCCTGATGCCCTCAGCCTCCCACCTTCCCCACAAAAGCTGCAAAAGATTGAAAACAAACGCACCGTCCAATAAACTCTTTGTGCAAAGCCAAAAGAAGCCGCAGTGCCTTATGCTGCCCTCACAGTCCGTTGATGACGCCTGGATGCGGATGGTCACCCATCGTTACTTCCAAACGACGCTGCACACCCGCGACGCATCCTGCGCTCTGAGACATGCGGCCCTCACTATCACCAGAGACGCCCACGCACCCTCAACAACGCACTACAAAGAGAAGCGTTGCTGGCTCCCTTCATCCCCCATCCCAAGGGCCGCAGCAGCCAGAAACATGTTCGTGCGTGCGTTCATTCTCAGCGTTCACGCCGCTACACAGAGTGTGCCAAATGGTGTGCGTGTGCGCATGTGCTTGTGTGTTTGGCAGCGCCTATACTTGCAGAGCAGCTGTGCGCCACAAGAGAGTCCAAAGAAAGCAACGGCAGAGAGAGGCAGATAGCACACACGCAAATTACTCATATCATCACACACACACACACACACACGCAGCCGCGGAATGGGTGCACTCAACCACAAAATCAAAAAGGAAAACAAAACAAAAAGCCGAAGCGTGGACGACCAGCGCACACACTCTCATTACTCCCGTAAAGCAAAACACACACACAGAGGGAGAGAGAGAGAGGTCGCCCACTCAGTGCAATAAAAACAAAACAGAAACAGTTACGGTGCTCCGCCCATGCAGCCAGGCAGGACGGCAGCGGTGCGTGTCGTGCAAAAGAGAGCACCAACGGGCCTGCATGGGTGTGCATGCATATATACAATGGGCACATTATGTGTGTGCCTCGTGGGGTGAGGTGAGGGCGAGAGTCCATGCAAGGGGACACACACAGAGAGAGAAGGACGAGTGTGTGTGCGGGCGGTGCATGGCTCTCTCACACTCACTCTCACGCGGCCACCACCGCAGCCGCAGCAGCACACGCAACAACAAGAAGAAGCAAAAGAGGGGAGGTGGTGTGGGAGACCGCGGTGCTGCTGTCACTGTCGTCCGTAACTGCAGTTGCACCTGTGCGAATGCGGTTTTGTCTTTCGCGGATTCTTCGCCATTTCCGCGGGATGTTCATGTCTGGCGGACTTCTTCTGTTGATGCCTTTTGAGTGGTTTCAGCATTTTTTTGAGCCTTCGTGTCTTCCTCGTCCGCCACAGAAGTGGCAGCACCATTAGCATCTACAGAAGCGTATGGTGATGTGGGGTCGTTAAGCACTTTTGTTGTATTGTGCATGACAATTAAAAGACGTTTCTTCTCATTCGCTCTTTTAAGCCGGCGGCGAGCTCCTCCCGTTGTAGCTCCCGTAGCTGTGCGGGAGCCTGTAGCCTTCTCGTTGCCCGTGGCACAGTGAGTGAGGCAGGCAGTGCACTTTGTTCTTATTCGTGTTATTGCTGTTGTTGTCACTGTTGCAATTCTTGTCCATCGTGTCCTTGCTGCGGTTGTTTCTCCCACTTCTTCATGTTCTCCGTCTGGTTCTGCCTCCCCATTCCATCACTGCAAGAATTATCGCAATAATTTGTTTTCCTTCCTCTCGGTGTGTCATTGCGCCGTTCATTCCGACTGGGTATTATCCTCGGAAGGGGTTCTCCCACAACCGGTGGAGTGGCAGTGCTGCCGGATTAAGAAGAAAATTGACCGGCGGTGCGAAATTAAAACTCATTTGCCGCACCTTTCGTAGGATCCCGGTATTTATTGCATTTGCATTTGGCTTAAATGCATTGGACTCCTTCTTATATTCATTCGCCTCTGATACGCCGGCGTCCAGCGAGGGTGCTGCTGCACCTGCGGCACCTTTTCCTTCGGCACCAGACGCTGACTCCTCGGAATTCTCCGCTGAGCCAGGGGCTGAGGATGTGTTTTTTTTTTTTTACTTCTCTTACCAGTCGTATTAACTACACCTCAATTGTGCAGCTCTGGTAAGCGTACGAAGGAATTCAGCAGCGGATAGAAATACCGCTCCGCGGGCAGCCATGTAAATGGCTCCATCTGGTGCCCTTCCGACCCGTAAAACTAAGTAACAACTACTCATCGGATTTGAAGCATGAACAGCAGGCGCTTAGCTTCCTCTCTAGCAAAGAGTACTAGACCCTGGCACCACGTTGAGGTGGCCGGCTGAGCCAGGGCTGAGGATGTGTCATTCATCGCATCATCGTCGTCCGCAACTTCAACAGCTCTCATTAGTCCAATTCAGGTGGATAATAACCGGCATTCCGCACTTAGAGACACTCCGTCGCCTCCACCATTATTCGTCCGCGTCAACACATCTCCTCCACCCTCACTTCCGTACTCGTCACTTGCGTGCCCAATACCGGCACCGCACCACAGCACGCAGAGGGCACACACCAGCAGCACACGGCCAGTCATCATCGCCACCACTCCTGCCACTTGCGTGCAGCCTTCAGCAAAAGTAACTCCCCGTCAACAGAGAGGGGAGAAAAAAGATAGACAAATCACGCAGCAACGCACTGTAACAAATGGCAGCACCCCAGCAGCAGCGCACACACCACGAGACAGATGGAATCAGTACGACTGCAGAGCTCGCACACCGCCTCGCAAACCAGAAGTTCAAAAAGCAATAAAAACAATAATTAAAAAACAATAATTAAAAAAAGAAATTAAAAAAGAAAAACAAACCCAGAGCTCCAGTGCGCATGCTTATGAGTGTGTCCGCGATGCGTTCAACGTGGCGGATGCGGGGCACAACGCGGAGCACACAGCACGGCAGCGGAAGCAAGTGAAGCAAAACAAGATCATTATTTCCTCTTATTTTATACAGTGAACCACAACACACGCGCACAAATCCCGCGGTTGAGTGCTGGCACGCACAGCCCGCACACACCTCTTCAGCCCACAGCGGTGTACGCCAGCGCGGATGCGGCAAGCACCAGCGGGGCACACACCCACGCAGAGCTGCTGAGGCTGCCGTCGATTTCGCGAAGACGTGACGGTGCGCGGGTGGTCGACACAGCTGGCGCCTCTGTAGTCGTAGTAATTGGTGCCACTGTTGTAGTGGTGGTGGTCGTTGTCGTGGTTGTCGTAGTGGTGGTCGTGGTGGTTGTCTGAGCGGAAGTTTCAGACTCCTTATTTTTTTGTTCTGCGGATGTTTCAGTGCGACTTTGTTGTCCTGTCATACCGTTCGTGCCCTCTGTCAGTGATTTATTTGGTCCGGTACTTACTTTTGGTTCCAGACCTGCAGTACTGGTAGATCCTGATCCCTCTCCGCCACCATTTCCCGGCTTTGCAACGGACCCCGCTGTTGAAAGATCTGAATGACCGGTCTCCTGTGATGCTCCCCCTGTTGCAGACTTCGATTGACTGGGGCCGCTTCCATTAGCTCCAGGATTAGTTGATGTCTGTGATGTTGTCACCTGTGACAAAGCGGCAGATTTATCTGAAACGCACACGGACGGGCAGCAGCAGCACAGGGCAAGCAACAACAGGGCGCACAGCAGACGGCACGTCATCATCATCGTGAGTGTGGTCGTTCAGTGGTGTGGAGCTGATCTGCACAGTGAGGGACATGGAGAGCAACAGGGGAGACGAGAGGTGCGGCAGACACACACAGAGGGCACACCACATGAGGAGAGGGCAGCAGCCAGGCATGCACCGTACGCCGCACACCACGCACGACACACACTCCAATCCACAGCCCTGCCGCAACAACAACAACACACAGATGGAAGAGGGAGAAGCAAACAGGAGCGGCACACAAGGCTCCACCGCATGCACATGCAGCGAGAGCGGTCCGTCGTGTCGGCACCCCTCACGGAGGGTGCGCACACACACAAGAGGAGGTGCAGCGCACACAGCAACACAAAAGCATAGTAACAATAAAAAAGGAGATCCCCGCACACCACGCGGATTGTTGGTCCACGGGAAGCGCAGCCAATATTCACCACAAAGCAGCTTGTTATCTTGTCTTGGTTGTATGCTGCTACAATAACGAGTGAGTAGCGCAAGAACCGTCCGTACAAAAGTGGCAATTATTCCGTCGTGCGGGCTGGGGCAGTCCCACAAACAGTCGCAGTCCAGTTCCCAACGACGAGGGCATTCCCGCAGTGGATGAGGCGGAGTCTCCCGTGGTCCGTCGGGGATCAGCAGCCCGTGGCGTCCGTGATGAGGCGGTGGCGGAAGAGCCTGGTCCATCTCGAGTACCCGCGTTTGTGCTTCCTGCGTGTCTCGCCTGCTGGCATGCTTGGCAACTTCGGTGGCGGCCTGCGCGCGAGGCGCCTGTTAGGAAGACGGTGGCGCCATTGTGGCATCCGCATGGGAGGCCCTCGCTAACTATTATAACGCCAGGCTGAGCACGTCCGGCATGTGCCCTCATACTGTGGACGGACAAGCGCACTCAGCCGCAGGTTGGGCAGGAGGACGTCAATCCGCCGCTCGCTGGTCGACAAGGGGTTGCGGTGCTCACGTCGGGAGGAGGTTCCGGCGGAGGCAGAGGCGGGCCGGTCACCGCAGTGAGGGAGGGACGGCACCACCGACACAGAGAGTTCCTTGTGATCCGCAGGGCGCGTGCAGGCCTGTCGAAGAGTGGGCAGGAGTCGCATCGCACCTGTGCGCAGTGCCGCCACTCGGGGACCGATGTCCGGGTCAACACCAGGAATAGAGTCCTCGCCACACCGACGGGCGCCTGTCACGCGGTGTGCGCGCCCTCCTTTTCCTCCTGGGCATCCTTCCAGTCCCGTCGCTCCACTGCAGTAAGGAAGTCCACGTGCCAGGCACTGACGCAGTCCTGCGAGAGGGGTCGTGCAATCGTGGCTTGTTTGTCAGCGGCCTCACTGCGTGGAATACCGCAGTGTGATGGGAAAATATAAAATCCACAGGGTGACCTCGCCTCACCAAGGAAAGCAGCATAATCCAAATTTACTCAGTAACGCGGTCTCGCACGGTCGGTGGGCAACGCGGGGTGCCTCAATTGCCGAGAGGGAGTCCGTTTCCTCCAGCATTCGTGTGGGCGATTGGGATGTTCCCAGACAAGGAGGTATGAGATGTCTAAAAACATTTTCGATCGCAAGGCAGTCTGCCCTATATGAGCAAGCGAGGCTGCCAGCTGCTGCACGATGTACCTCCACAGGGAGATCATTTGTCGTGGTGGAGTCATATAATAGCGCAGCGGATCCAGGTGCGAGTGCAGCGAGATACGAAGGACCGTCCGCCCACAATTCAAAATCACAATCCCCCAAAGAGGAGTGAGTAGAATAGAAAGCCGTGCGCCCGACATCGTCAGAGGCGTCTTCGGCAAACAGTGGCTGATAAAATCTCACGCTGTTGCAGCTCACAGTGTCCCGGGGAAAAATTCGATGTTGGGCAAGAGGCGCGCGATTGTGGTTGTGGGGTGTCCCAATAATGTCACAGACGCGTAGCAATCCATCAATAGCAGCAGCTCTCAGAAGCGGATTGATGTCGCCGCTTTCCCATGCATCGACGGCGGCATAGGTTGCGAGTAGATAAGGGAACGCAAATCCTCGTGATCATGGAGGCGTATATAGCGTCATTATTGTGTGAGTGCAAGACGCCAGAGTACCTTCCGGAGCGGAAGAATATTGGCCTCCAAATAGAGAGATGTGTCTTCCGTAGAGGCGCTCAGGCAAAGAATGTTTTGCTACCGTCGCGGCACCGTAATTCCATATTATGGAGGTAAGTGGGGGCGAGTCACGGGACAATTGCCTCGCCACTATGAAATAGCACACTATGAACGTATCCAATCAAAAAGGATCGCATGGTGTGATGGGACGCGCCCGCCTCTGCGACCAGACGCAGCTGATAGCGGCGTGGCATGGTCCTCTTTGAAGCGGTGGAAGCATGCGCAACAGAATTAAGAAGTTGATCAATCGTGTTGCCCAGCAAGCGCACTGGGCGTGACTGAATACGCAGGTTCCCGCTAACAAGATGGAGATCGACCATGTCCTCGTCAGACCGTGTGTGTGTGAAGAGATGTAGAATAGAGCAGCTTCGCTCTTGGCGACGTTGATTTTTAGGCTGTGCTCGGCAGTCCATGTGGCCACAAGAGACAAGAGCGGTCGCATCGCCGCAGCACAGGCATGGATGTCCGCACCTGAGGCAACAAGTGTGTTTTCGTCAGCGTACATGAATGCGGAGGCAGAATAGATGCTGCCCAGGCGGCGCAGCAGACCATCCACACAGTAAAGGAAGAGTTGGGGTCCCGGGACGCCGCCTTGCGGTGCTCCAGCTGAGGCGAGTTGTTTCCGGGAGTGCTGTTCGCGAGTGCATACCCCAACATAGCGGCCCCGCAGGTAGTTGTGCAGCCAGCGTTTGGTTCGAGGCCAAGGCGCGGAAGTCTGTCAAGCATGCAGAATAAATTCCCATGGTCAGTGGTGTCGAACACAGTCGAAATGTCAATCGAGACCACAAGCAAGCGATGGCGACGAGGGTGCCTTGTGGGGGCGTCGTCTCCAGGGCGCTCATGCTCCACAATGCCAAACTCATTCAGTCCACGGGTAATTTGTCGACAACAAGTGCCACCGCGTCCGACGTAGAACGCGGAGGTGCAAATCCGAAATTGACGTGGGTGGTGCGGCAATAACGCTGACAGACGGCGGTGAATCATTCCTTCGGTTAACTTTAGTAAAACAGAGAGCAGCGTGGTAGGTCTGTAACTCTCTGGGCGGCATGGATCCTTCCCAGGCTTGGGAATAGAAATAGCGTCTCCCATTTTCCAGGAGCCAGGCAGGCTGCCGTTTGCGAAGGAGTTGTGGATCATCGTTCTAAGTGTGCCATGCGCAACGGGCTCGAGACGGTGCAGGAATTCATTCAACATTTCGTCGGGGCCAGGGGCTGAGCCAAGCAAAGAGTCACGGATGGCCACGTCAAGTACATACGGCAGGAAAGGCCGATCCATTTCCCAGCCACCAGGAACCAAAGGAGTGCAGCGAGCAGCAGCAGCAGTGTAAGGCGGTATGGCACGTGAAACCGCACAAAATGACGGAAAAGCAGATTTGCCTGTTGCCGAGGCAGGGCGCATACGCGGCCAAGTTCAGTGCGGAGCACAACCGATTCCAGAGGATGAGGGTGCGGTGCCGCCACGCCGTGAAGATATCGCCACCTCGGGCTGGATGAGGTTCCACGTCTTTTCGCGCGGGCTTCCAGAGGCACAGCGGAGCAACGGCGTAAGGCTTGATTTCGTTCCTCCTTTTTTCGGGTACATTCGGCTCAAAGTAGGCTGTCTCCGGGTGAGGCAATGTGTGTGCTTCGTGTGCTGCCTCGGCGGCGGACTCGGCCCGTTCCATTTCGTGTGTCCATATCTTTTTGGAGCTGTCACGGCTGCCGCGCGGGATGTGGCGCCCAGCTGCTCGTAAGATGCCTCCGCGAGGATCCTACCATGTGGACGCGGTGGCAAGAAGGGTTTCACACAACGATGCAAAAGCAGGCCAACCCGCTTTACGCAGGGCAAGGGTGGCTTTCTTCCGTCAAGGCAGCGTGTTTGCTAGTCGTGGAGTGCCATCGTCCATCTCTACCAAGTAGGATATTAAGCAGTGGTCCGAGTCCATGTAAGGGGCGAATGTCCAGTGGGAGATGCGTAGGGCGCAATACGCAGCCACGTCAGGGGACGAGGCATTACGATATGTGATCCGTGTTGCCTGCGTCGGGTAATTTGCCAGCCCAAAATCCATATCGATTAGAACAGCGGCGAAATTATCGCCTCCAGTCCTTGATGGTACATATGACTGTCCCAGAGTTCACGATGCAAATTCAGGTCACCCGCGATAATCTCTTCGGGCACAAGCGACAAACGATATTGATAAATGCGGATTATTGACCAATTGCTGTGGGAGGGTTGCAGAGATTCGCCACGCAAATGCTGCGACAGCCCGGCGGAAATACACGGACAGCAATGGTCTCCAGGAGGTCAGTGCCAGGGAGCGACAGGAGTCCACACGGTGGAGAGTGGCGCACCAGAACGGCAACGCCACCGCGCCCAGTGCGGGCTGAAGGCAGTCATTATGGCCACATAATTTCGTCGCCACGCCACCACGGTTACTTATTTCCTGCAGAAGAACGATGTCAGGTGGACGCTGCTCCAATCGCGCAGCAAATGCAATATTTTTCACGGACGAGAGGCCTGCAATGTTAAGCCGCCAAATATTGATGTAGCCATCCTCCTCGGTGGCAGGGTTCTTGTGAACGTCACCGCCACGGGCGATATCAACGGAGTGACCGCTGCGAAACGGTCGTGCAGTTCTGACCGACAGTCTGCAGGCAGACCGCCTCACCTCCCCGCACCGGGCATGGCGTGGAACCTCCTCGGGGAATGAAGTCACCTTGGTCTCCGTCGTGCTCGCAGCAACGCCCTGCTGCGGAGTTCCTATACGCAACCAAAGCCCAGCACCGCGACAAGGTGCAACGTCACCGCCGGGGACCGTGGATACTCGTAACGGATGGCGGTGTTGACGTCCCCACGTCAGCCGGGATTGGCATACTGCTCTAATCCCTGGAACTTTCGAGGGTAATAGAGAATGTCAGTACCAACGGCGGCACACGCCCATGCAGCCGCACGACGGAATCCCGTGCACTGCTCCCGGCCATGGAAAGGCTGAGTGTCCATCGTATCCAGCACAGGCAAAAACCCTGCTTGTGGTTACAGACAGCCAGTCTCTTCTAGCCGCCGTCACCAACGGCCCGCACAGTCATACCGAATGGACGGAGGATCGGATCTGGCAGCGTCTCTTGTCACTGACGCGTGCTGGCTGGTCCATGCAGCTGCAGTTTTGCTACGAACATTGCGGAGTACATGTTAACGAGCCTGCAGATCAGCATGCGACGCAGAACACGGCAACCGGGCAATACACGGAGCATGGAATAGCACCCATACGGCACACGGACCTGCTGTCATGCATTAACACCCAGCTCACCAACAAGTGGCGTAGTACCATGCATCAGGACACACACCACTACCTGCTTGGCGGCGCCAGGCCATCAGATCCAGGCGGCAAGCACCTGATCACTCAGGAGGCCCTCGACTGACAGGAACAGATACACACTGCACGGGAAGGGTGCGGGGAATCCGAGCTCTGGTGTCGCCTGCACTGGACTGTGAGAGACTGCACGAACCAACGCCGTTTCCGCAACATCTCACCGGAACAGTCTGCTTTCATGCGCTCCAACGACGATCCCACTGCACCGGGACGGACACTGTTCCCCCGACGACAAGGGAGGCCGACGCACCGCCTGTGGAGAGACGGCCCTCCACACAGCGTCGAAAGAAGAAATGCCCGCACTGTGACGCCACACTGGTGGGACACACGAACCACATCGGTCACTGTCGGTGCTTTCATCCGGAACGCCCTCCACCGCTTCCCGACCTCCACCGCGATTGCTGCGACACGGTCCTCCCCACACAAAAAGCACCGCACAGCACAGAAATCGCTGCGCACAAAACCCAGACGCTGATCGGCACCGCAGCAGCAGTGCCAGGAGGCAATCACTGCTACCGCAGGATCAGCCAGCCTCCACAAGCGCAACAATTAGCCCGCAGAAAACACTGCGCCATCTGCTTCCGGAATGTACAGACGCTCTGGCTGTGCGCCAACGGCTGGGCATCAAGAAGGACCTTGGCACCGAAAGCTTCTCTCAATGGCAGCTGCCTCATAGCAGGAAACTCATGTCGCTGCTCGACCACCTCCTCGGCACCCTGGTGGCATCGTGTGGCTAGACGCGCTGGTAAGAGCAGGGAAAAATAATAATAATGAGCATTCCCGCCACTGTAGAGACGCGGTGCATCTTGCGATCCCGCTGGCGGCTCTCCTGTTCCACCGCTGTTTCTGCGCAAGAGGCCACCACAGTCATTTTTGTGGTTTGGTCGGCCTCGTGTTGTGCTCCGGGTTCTCCTCCATCATCGCCCTGCGGTGCTTCCTTCGCCGTCCCTGGCACCTGTGACTGTCCCGTGACGGTTTGTTCCGAAGCCTGACTGCCCTGGGAGGTCCTCCCGCCACCAGCATGCACTCCACCCGCTGCCTGCTGAGATGCGTCGGAGCGTGGGGATGTTGTGCCTGCGGCGTGCCCTCCGCCCAAAGACTCCGGTCCACTTGCACGCATCCGAGCAGCAGACGCGCTGCCAGTGCCGGACGGATTGCAAGTGCCACTTCGCAGTGGGTCGCTTCTGGATTGGTCCTGCCTCGTCGGAGCAGTGAGTGCTCCTGCCGAGGTGGGATTGGGGTCCTCACCCACGGTGCTTCCTCCACCCTCCTCGTCTTCCTGATTGCTATTGTCCTCAGAGTTCACATTCCCCCTTCGTCCAGAGCCACCGGCCACAGGTCCACCTTCCGCAGCCATCACACCCCGCGCGTGCTCAGCAGCCACCGCGCCATCACCCGCGGGCAGCACACGCACCCCGTCGCAGCAGCCCTCACTCACACGCACGAGCAGCTGCGCATCACTGCAGGAGCCAACAGGACGCAGAGCACACGGCCAGTCATCATCACAAACAGTGGAGTCGCCTAACGCTGCGGAGCCAACCTGCGATAGCACGAGAAAAACAAAGGGAGACACAGCCGGTACACCACGCACAGCAACAAATGGCAGCACCCCAGCAGCGGCAGCGCACACACCACGAGACAGATGGAATCAGTACGACTGCAGAGCTCGCACACCACACCGCAAACCAGAAGTTTAAAAAGCAATAAAAAACAATAATTAGAAAGCAATAATTAAAAAGCAAACCCAGGGCTCCAGTGCGCATGCTTATGAGTGTGTCCGCGATGCGTTCAACGTGACGGATACGGGGCACAACGCGGAGCACACAGCACGGCAGCAGAAGCAAGTGAAGCAAAACAAGATCATTATTTCCTCTTATTTTATACAGTGAACCACAACACACGCACAAATCCCCGCGGTTGAGTGCTGGCACGCACAGCCCGCACACACCTCTTCAGCCCAGAGCGGTGTACGCCAGCGCGGATGCGGCAAGCACCAGCGGGGCACACACCCACGCAGAGCTGCTGAGGCTGCCGTCGATTTCGCGCAGACGTGACGGTGCGCGGGTGGTCGACACAGCTGGCGCCTCTGTAGTCGTAGTACTTGGTGCCTGTGTTGTGGTCGTCGTGGTGGTCGTCGTGGTTGGTGATTTTGTTGTGGCCGTCGTGGTCGTCTCGAAAGAAGCTTCGGCGTTATTAACTTCTTTGTCCGCAGGTGCACCGGTGCCAATTTCAGATCCTTTATTACCCTTCGCATTCTCTGTCAGTGATGTATTTGACACGTTATTTACTTTTGGTCCCGGAACGACCAAACCTGGTGCCTCTGGCTCAATTTTGTCCGCAGCCGGCTCATTGGCTGAATCATCAGCAGCCTGACCGTCCACTGGTAGTCCTCCTGTTTGAGAGGGCGCTGGACCGGCGACGTTTCCATTAGGTGCAGTCGCCCTAGATTCAGCTGAGGTAGGCGACAAATTGGGGTCTTTTGCAGTACCTTGGCCTTCAGAGGGCTCCTGAGTGTCTCCCGCGTGCACGGACGGGCAGCAGCAGCACAGGGCAAGCAACAACAGGGCGCACAGCAGACGGCACGTCATCATCATCGTGAGTGTGGTCGTTCAGTGGTGTGGAGCTGATCTGCACAGTGAGGGACATGGAGAGCAACAGGGGAGACGAGAGGTGCGGCAGACACACACAGAGGGCACGCCACATGAGGAGAGGGCAGCAGCCAGGCATGCACCGTACGCCGCACACCACGCACGACACACACTCCAATCCACGGCAACAGGCACACACACACACAGCCCTGCCGCAACAACAACACACAGATGGAAGAGGGAGAAGCAAACAGGAGCGGCACACAAGGCTCCACCGCATGCACATGCGGCGAGAGCGGTCCGTCGTGTCGGCACCCCTCACGGAGGGTGCGCACACACACAAGAAGGTGCAGCGCACACAGCAACACAAAAGCAAAGTAACAATACAAAAGGAGATCCCCGCACACCACGTGGATTGTTGGTCCACGGGAAGTGCAGCCAATATTCATCACAAAAACAGTTCGGTTGCCGTATGCCTTCGTCCACATTCGGCGCACTCCACTTCATGCAGGCCCGGCCACCACCGCAGCAGGAGCTGCTGCACACGCAACAAGAAACAAAAAAGGGAGGTGGTGTGGGAGACCACGGTGCTGCTGTCACTGTCGCCAGGCGCCGCTGTGTTATTCGCTTTGTCTGTGGCTGTAGATGATGTTGTTTCCTTCTCGCTGCCATCCTCTCGTTCATGTTGGTGTTCTCCCTCCGGCACAGCGGCATGAGATGCGGAACCACCGTTCAAAATCTACGCATTGCCCGCGTCAGCGTCATTGGCGGCGGCAGCAGCATCCGCAAGAGAAGATGGTGAAGTTGTCTCAGCCTGACCCTCAGTGATTGCATTCTGCCTTGCATCCGCCGTTGGTTCAGTGCCTTTTCTGCAGATCTTCTGTTGGCTTCATGGTCGCTGGGACTTCCGTTGAGGATGGCAGTGCGCTGTGTGGTGGTGATTTCGGTGGCGGTTCTGATGGGCCTGCTGGCACCTCTTATTCTGCTGCTGTTGGCGGCAATTCCTCCA